CATTCATTCATTCAACTGATAAATATTAATCATGTGCCAGACACTGATCTAGGTGCTGGGAAGACAATGAGACAAAGCAGAGAAGGCCCTAGTTTTCATAAATGTAAGTTGATAGTTGGCAAATAAATAAATAACATGATCCTTTCAGATAATGGTAACTGTCTGAAGAAAATAAATTAGGGAATGGGTAGAAGGAGACTAGGGTGAGGTACCCTAGATAGAGTGGTGAGGAAAGGCTCTGTTGGAGAGATAATATTTAAGCTGAGAACCAGATGATGAGAAGGAACCAGCCACACGAAGATGGGAAAGAGCAAATCAGAAAGTGGAAAGAAAAGGTATAGCAGACTGACAAGGGAACAAGTTGGGAGTGTTTAAGAAATACAAAGACAGGAAAAAAAAAAAGCCAGTGTGACAGGATTGCAGTGAGCAAGGGGACAGAATTAGGAAGCGGGTGAGGCAGGAGAACAAAACAGGGCCTCTAGGCCACAGTGAATAGTTACATATGGCCACAGTGAATTAGATCTTTGTTGGTAAGCCTGTACACATCAACTTTAGGAAATCTTCATATATCAGGAAAAGCAGTGGGAATGCTGATCTGTAATATTCAGGGATAGTGGAATGGATTCCTGGAAGTGTCTTTCCCAGTGTGGTGTGACTGACCCCCTATATTGTCAGGGCATTGTGAACGAAGTGCGCCAATCCATGCAGCTGATGCTGAGCCAGCTGATCCAGCAGCTAAGAACCAACATCCAGCTCCCTGCCTGCCTCCGTGTCATTGGCTTCCTGCGGTGCATGGATGTCTTCACTGAGGCTGAGTTGAGGGTGAAGTTTCTTCAGGCCCGAGATGCTTGGCTCCGTTCCATCCTGACTGCCATCCCCAATGATGATCCCTATTTCCACATCACAAAAACCATTGAGGCCTGCCGTGTCCATCTGTTCGATATCATCACCCAGTACCGTGCCATATTCTCCGATGAGGACCCTTTGTTGCCCCCTGCCACGGGTGAGCACACTATGAATGAGAGTGCCATCTTCTATGGCTGGGTGCTACAGAGAGTCTCACAGTTCCTGCAGGTGCTGGAGACCGACCTTCACCGGGGGATTGGTGGTCGTCTAGACTCTTTGCTGGGTCAGTGCATGTACTTTGGGCTGTCCTTCAGCCGGGTGGGGGTTGATTTCCGGGGCCAGTTGGCTCCTGTTTTCCAGCGGGTGGCCATCAGCACTTTCCAGAAAGCAATTCAGGAAGCAGTGGAGAAGTTCCAGGATGAAATGAATTCCTACACCCTCATCTCAGCTCCAGCCATCCTGGGCAGCAGTAATCTGCCTGCTGCTGTGCCAGTCACTCAGCCAGGGACCCTGCAGCCACCCATGGTGCTCTTAGATTTCCCACCCCTCGCCTGCTTCCTCAACAATATTCTGGTTGCCTTCAATGATCTGCGCCTCTGCTGTCCTGTGGCCCTGGCACAGGGTGTGACTAGGGCCCTAGAGGACGCCCTTGCCAAGGTGAGCACATCCTTTTGGCTCTCTACTGGGGCTTTCTTTGGTAACAGGTGGCCAGACTTTTGTAAAAAATAAACCAGTTTATGTGATAGGTGGTTGCAGACTTAGGCTTAGTGGGGTTTTAGAGATTTTTCTGATTGAGCAGCTCTGGTTAGTCCCCCATCATGGGACCTAGAACAATTCATGAAGTGGCTCACCTGTAATAATGATTCAGTAAAGTATTAGTTTTCTACTGCTGCATAACAAACACAGCAGCCTAAAACAACATATTTATTTTTTCCCAGTTTCTTTGGATTGGGAGTCCTGGGTCCTCTGCTCAGGATCTCACAAGGTTACAGTCAAGGTGTTGGCCAGGCCACAGTCTCATCTAAAGTTTGGAGTCCCCTTTCAAGCTCATTCATGTTGGCAGATTTCTGTTCTTTGCAGTTGTAGGTTTAAGGCCTTCAGGTCCTAGTAGCCACCTCACTCCATACAGTGTGGCTTTCTGATTCTTCAAGGCCAACGGAGAGTAACTCTCCTACAGTGAGTCTCTTCTTTTAGGGAAAACCTCAACCCCTTTTTTTTTTCTCAACCCCTTTTTAAAAGGCTTATCTGATTAAGTCAGGCCCACCCAGGATATCCCTTGATTAACTCAAAGTCAACTGATTAGGGGCTTTGATTACATCTGCAAAATCCTTCACCTTTGCCATATTCTATTGGTTAGAAACAAGCCACACATCCTGCCTACAATCAAGGGGAAGGGATTACACAAAGGAGTGGATACCAGGGGCTGGGATTCAAAAGAACCATTTTAGAATTCTACATAATACAAGAAATACTACAACTAATGGTATCCTGCACATTTTTTACATATTTAAACCTTTAGATATTGGGATGTTTCTTACAACTTACGGCATCTTATAATTGCTGTCAGCCAGATGGCAGTTGTGACATGGTTATATAAAATCTTTCTGGGCCCAGTTTTCTCACTTTTGAGCTTGCCCACTCTCGTATCTCAAGAGTGTATTTTGCTTTAATAAACTTTCCCACTTGTGTTACTCAAAAAAAAAAAAAATGTTAATGCCCTCCTGTAAGAGAAAGAAAGCATGAGCATTGAAATTTTGTAGTCAATGAAATTCAGGTAATAGTAATTTGCTAATATTTATATAGAACTTACTCCATACCAGGTAGTGTTCATCATATTTTATACCTATTAAGACTTGATCCTCACAACCCTAAGAGGTAGGTCCTGTTGCAGGCCCTACTCTATAGATGAGGAAACTGAGGAACAGAGGGCACAAAGTGTTTAAGTTATCACTTGGAAGTCACAAAACCAGCAAGTGGCACAGCTAGGACTTGGAACCAGGAATGTCAGCTAGGTTGTTCTGTTATTTATATGTGGAACTTCTTTTCTAGCTCTGTGTTCTTTTATAATTTTCTAGTGATCTAGCTTCCTGGAACCTTAACTACCTTACTCAGTAAAAACCTTTTACAGTTTTGCTTCATTTTCCTGGATCCAGTATAGTTCTGGTCATCTCCTTTAGGAATCAAGAACCTCTTGACGCTCTTCCACTGAAAATGGAAAGTGTGCCAGTAATGAAACAAATTGGGTTTGGGTCAGAAATACATTAGTAAAGTGACAGAACTGTGAAGAGTGACAATTCTGAATTTAAACAAGACAGTAATATAATGTACTGTTTGGAATGACTTTATGAAAACTTGAGGGCTGCACATTTGTGCTTAGTTTCAGGTACTGCTGATGGTGATAGTCTACTCTAGTGACTGATGGTGGGTGCCCTTGTCTCCTAGGTAACCAAAACAATCCTGGCCTTCCATCGCGCAGAAGAGGCTGCTTTCAGCAGTGGGGAGCAAGAGCTCTTTGTCCAGTTCTGCACTGTCTTCCTGGAAGACCTTGTTCCTTATTTAAATCGCTGTCTCCAAGTCCTTTTTCCACCAGCTCAGATAGCACAGACCTTAGGTAAGAGAAAGGAGGGGAAAGCGCTTTAAAACTACTTTATTGATATAATTCATATACTAAATAAAATTCACCCATTTGTAAAAATGTTTTTTATTAAGTATACAGAGATGTACAATCATTACCACTATCCAATTTTATTTTTTTTAAAGATTTTATTTATTTATTTGAGAGAGAGTGAGAGAGAGAGAGAGAGAGAGAGAGAGCCCAAGAGGGGGTAGGGTCAGAGGGAGAAGCAGACTCCCTGCCGAGCAGGGAGCCCGATGCGGGACTCGATCCCGGGACTCCAGGATCATGACCTGAGCCGAAGGCAGTCGCTTAACCAACTGAGCCACCCAGGCGCCCACCACTATCCAATTTTAAAAATGTTTCCATCACCCCAAAAAGATCCCTGCAGCCCAATGTTAGCCCCTGGCAACTCCTAATCAGCTGTTACCGTATATTTGCCTTTTCTGGACATTTCATATAAATTAAATAATACAGTATGTGTATATCTGGCTAAGTGGAAGAAGCTAGTCACAGGAGAACCACCTATTGTAGGACTCTATTTATATGAAATGTCCAGAGAAGGTATTTTAAAAAGATTTTTCCTAATTTGTCTTCACTTCCCTGTCCCCACTCTCTCTGTGCCTGGAGTGGGGGCCGGGGGAGCCAGAGCTTCCCTTAGGGCAGTTGGCCAGTGGCCACACCAGCAGAATTGCTGTTGGCCACTTTACCCCAGCTTTCTCCTTGGGCTTGGCACAGGGAAGCCAGTGCCTTCTGAGGTTCTCTTGGCTTTTAACTCGATCCACCCTCCACTGTGTTATTGCAGATTACCTTCAAAGTCTTGCTTTATAGTATAGTTTCCTGTCCCATATCACGAAGATGACTTTTACTGTATGGAAATGTGGAAACTGTCCTGTTAAGTTTTTCTCCCCTGTGACACATCAATATTTAAATTTATTTAACGTTTTTTCTATTTCACTTTCTCTACCTTCTGGGTCAGGCATTCCACCCACTCAGCTCTCCAAGTACGGAAACCTTGGGCATGTGAACATCGGCCTCGTCCAGGAGCCTCTTGCCTTCCTCCTGCCGAAGAGAGAGTTGGTCCTCTGTCTAGATGAAAAGGAGCTGGTGCCGGAGCTCGCAGCTCCAGCACCCGCCGCCGAGGAGTCAGGCTTGGAGTCCGTCGCTGCAGCTCGCCCTGAGGATGCGCAGGAGCAGGCGGACTCAGCCGAGGCGCCGCAAGCTGAGGCGCCCGGTGCGGACCCCTAGCCGGCGCCCCTGCACCCAGCCGCGGCGCGGCCCGGGACACGGGATGGCCAGGGCTCTCTGCCGCGCCCGCGGGGAGGCGAGGCCGGCCTCGGAGAGCACCGGGCAGCCCCATGGGGGAGGCTCCAAACGCATTCGTGACAGCAAACGAAAGGGGGAACCTCTGCGTCACGCTCGCCAATGGTTGATTATACAGTAAAACACGGAATTCACTAATAAAGCTGCTGACGTCACGGAGGCGGGCTGAGCTCTGCGGGCCGCGCTGGCGCTCCCGGAAGGCGCGCGGGATCTCTGCTTCCCGGCGTCCCCCGCGACGGGAGGGCTCGTCTACCGGGGCCGGGGAGGGTGGCTACGGTCGGGCGGCTGTGCTCGGCGCACCGGGGGCAGGATGGGAGCCGGGCTGCTACTGGGGACGCTGCTGGCGCGGACGCGTCACTGCTTGGGGCCGGCCCCACCGTGGGGAGGGGGAGCGGCGGCCGACAGCGCCCGGGCCTGCAGTTCTGCGCCCGCCCGGGACGGCCTCGAGGGCCCGGCGCGCCGGCGGTCCTACTGGCGCTACGTGCGGCGTCTGGTGCGGGGCGCGCCCGAGCCGCCGTACCCGCGCGTGTGCCAGGTCGGGGACCCGGCGCTGCGGGCCGTGGCGGCCCCGGTGGACCCGGCGCAGCTGGCGGGGCCCGAACTGCAGAAGCTGGTGCAGAGGTTGGTGCAGGTGATGCGAAGCCGACGCTGCGTGGGCCTGAGCGCTCCGCAGCTCGGGGTGCCGCTGCAGGTGCTGGCTTTAGAGTTCCCCGAGGCGCTCTTCCGCGCCTGCGCGCCGCCCCTGCGCGAGGCCCGCCAGATGGAGCCCTTCCCCCTGCGCGTGTTCGTGAACCCCCGCCTGCGGGTGCTAGACAGCCGCCTGGTCACCTTCCCTGAGGGCTGCGAGAGCGTCGCGGGCTTCCTGGCCTGCGTGCCCCGCTTCCAGGCCGTGCAGATCACAGGTGCGGGGGGTCGGGGGGGGTCGGTGGCTTTGGGGAGGTTGGGTAAACACGTGCGTCTCTTCCCCCCGCCCATGGAGGCGGCGACCTCGGGTCCCATGAAACAGTTTTTGCAAAGCTCCAGTAAAGCGCAGACTTGTGAAAGTGTAGGCTCAGGGAAGCCTCCGGGCAAAACTCTGGAGTGGACGTGATTCAAGACTGACCGATTGGGATGGGGATGGCGGCCAGTGACAGCAGAGACAGCTCCTCGGGGTCGTGGTTTGGGCTGGGAACGTGGCCTATTTCCGATGTTGCCGCACTCCAGGTCCTCTGCTCTGTGCCCTCTCCCTCGCTGTCTCCCACACATACATTCTACCCAATTGGAGCCATCGTGGTGGAATGGGAGAAGTGGCACGCAGCTTTGCCCAGCCCAGGGTGATAAGCCACAGGATGTTTTGTGGAATCTGATTTGCTGGAGTTGGAATGATTGTTCCTCTTGAGTAGGCCACTTGGTCCAGGTCAGAAAGTAAATGGTACCCCTTTATTTTATAGTGTACCAAGTTGAAAGACTTTTAGGAATTGAAATAAATCAGCAGTATCTCAGAAATGGGAGGAATGTTCAGAAATGAAGCACCTTAGGAAGATCATTTCTCATCTCAGCCCCATAGTAAGTCCAGCAACCTAATTGTCAGTGTTAGAACCACACTGAATACTTGGTAATGGGTAGAGTTGAGGCATCTTTTCTGGGAAGAATAGAGGCTGCTGCCTACATTCCCTTCTGATGTTGCCTCTTGTCAACAGGAAGAGCCAGAGGCAGGGAAAAGGTAAGGAGATTAAAAATGATGCAGTTAAGCATATCCTTACCCAGGCTGTAACTTACTTTGCAGGGCTGGACCCCAAAGGGGAGCAGGTGGTGTGGCAGGCGAGTGGATGGGCAGCACGTATCATCCAGCATGAGATGGACCACTTGCAGGGCTGCCTGTTCATTGACAAAATGGACAGCAAGACATTTACAAACATCTACTGGATGGAGGTGAATGATTAAAATTTTCCTGCTGCATCTGAGGATTCTGGAAATGAAAACACAAACACTTGGGATTTGAGCTGGGCATGGCTTGCCCATTTCCAACTTGATATTGGGCTGGCTCTGACAGAAAACAGTGAATTGCCAAACCAGGTTGGAGGAATATATCAAAAATGTTTGCCCTGAAATCATCCATGGACAAAATATTGCCAACGTGAAAAGAAAATGAACTCCCCCAAAGAGTAGACATTTCCTGATGATTTTGTATGGTAAAAAGTGGGGCAGATAACCACTCCTGGTGGACATGATTTCATAGACCTGTATGATCTGTCCCAAAGCCAAGATTTGATAATGACATAGTCCCAAAATATCTGAAAGCTGTTTAAAAATGCAAGTTAAGACTACGGTTGACCATCTTCACCGAGTTCTTATTTTTACAAAGGGCTTGTGTGTCTTACCTGCAGAGTCCTTTGCCTTGGACAACAGTTTGCTTGTGTAAGTAAAACAGAACAGAATGGCCACAGTTCATGAAGTGTTTAATGAGAGTATTAACATAAATGAGTACCCGCACATTTTACCAAGTTCACAAGTTTTGGTCTCCACCTTCTGCCTTTAACAGATTTGGGGATGATTTTCCTGCAAAGATTTCTCAGGCAGCTGCTATTTGGCTCATTCTTTTTGGTGGAGCTCATGGATCAGGGCTAGGGGAGGGATGATAGTTGACGAAGCAATGAACCTCTTCCTGTCACAATTAGAAAAGAAAGAGAAAGCAAAACTTGTGCTTCCTGGTCACCACACTTATTTTGGAAAAATAAATTAGCATCACCCTGGCCAATGATTAGCCTTAAGACACTGTCAGAGCTATTTGCAAGAGGTGAAGGAACTTGTTTCTCTAGATACTGGTCTTGCCTCATTTCTATGTTGAGTTTTGCAACATGGGTACTCTTACCAGAGTCCTCAAAATCCTAGTACCCGTGTAGTAAGTCCAGTAAGTTGCTTAGAAAAAACTTGTTTTAAACAGTAGTTAACTAAACGAACCCGGTATGGCTTTCTCTAAACAGGCCACCCTCTGGGGGCCTAAGAGGTCAAGCAAAAGGGAACTGGCTCTCTCTGCATTAAACTTTGGAAGGGAGTAAGAGCCGGCACTGCTCCAAGGTGAGGTTAGATACTCCGCCACTGGGAAAGTCTGTAGAAAACTCTCATTTACACTAAAAACATGGATCCTTATGAAAATGAGGATTCAGTGACCCTCCTTTCCCTTGGACAATGTTCAGAAGCTCCTGCAGGGTGGCTTCAGAATACTCAGAAGCTTCCTTACAGTGCTCTGAAGTTAACAGTCCTTACCGATGCCTTTGTAATGTAGATCAGTAACATTTGCCTGCAGCTTCCTGACCTGGGGACCCAAGAGTACGTGGTTGCTCAGAGTGGACCTTGGAGAAAGCCTGAAACTATTACTGACAACATGAGGTTTACTACTGTAACCAAATCCACCAAGGAGGATTTGTGCAACTAGCTACTACAGCCCAAAGCAGCAATCTGCATTTCTTATAAAATCTCACCCACCTCAGGGAGATGTATCAGCCACAATAACCACACATACAAATCAGCATCTTGAGCTAAGGAAAGTTTTAGAAGTCAACTACCGAAGTCAAAGCCAAGGTAAACAGAAGGTTTAGGCCAGAATTCCCAAGTAGGGAAGAGTGAATTTCAGAGTTAGCATTTAGGGGAGGAAATACATGGCTCTCCTCTGCACCTGTGAGCCATGTATAACATGGATGGTGAGGCATGCCATCAGTCTGAGGTGACCTCGGCCTCACATGTGAGTAGGACATCCATCACCCTGCATCCTGTCACCAGTGGTGGAGAGAAGAATGGAGAGGCGTAGCATCTGTGATAGCCGTGACCAGAGCTATGAAGATGAACCACAGCAGCCCCAGTTTCTGTTAACCCCTGTGACTTGCCAAGGTGTCTGAGCAGTAGAAAGGAAGATTTTAAAAATAAAGCAAGGACCTTCTGATTCAAGTAAAGGTGACTGGAGGTAGAGTAAGAAAACACAAGTAGCTAAAATGAAGGGAGTACGAGTCGGGCAGTGTCCTGTGCCGGCTTCTAGTCCAGCATTCACCAACATTAACTGGTGGCTCAGGGCACCTAACTAAAGCGAGAGCCACGGGAACTCCTGAGTGACAAAGATGCCAGCCACGGATGCTGCCAAGGCGTCACCTGGTCAGGCCTGCTGAGGCACCTGGTATTGAGGCAGGGCTAACATACCCACACTGGAGAGGAGCATTTGGGCCCAAGCCTTCAAGGAACCAACAAAAGTTGGCTCAATTCAGCCATTCCTAACCAAATCAAAGACCACCATGGTGCAAGGCTACTGTGATCTAAGAGTTGGCCACATCATCAGTTCTGGACAATCTGGGTTTTAGTAAGACCTGGAGCAATAATCACAGCTTTTGGAGGGGAAGGGGAAGTAGACCAGCCAGATGGCAGGCCTTTTGTGTATTCCTATGCACACTATCAAGCAGCACAGCCTCCTACTCAGCATTTTTAGGGCTGCCAGGTCTAGAGCCTTGGGGGGGGGGCGGGGAGCGGGAGGGTGTCTCAAGATCAGGAGTCACAAATTCAAATGGCCACAGGAGCTAGGCAGGCAACCTGGAGGACTGAAGCAGTGCATGTGGAGATGGGTGAGCTGGAGAGAGTGTTCTGCTTCTGAGCAGGGCAGCCCCTCCTTGGCTGTGGCTGACAGGCTGCCTCATGGGGACGCAGGCCCAGCATTGCCTCATCTCCCAGAAGCCAGAAATCTGCATTTTCACATCAACTCTTGATTTTTCAATGTTGGCAGTAGACCAAACCAAACACAGCTGCAGGCCATGTCTGGGCCACAGGCCTCCCAATCCGCAGGAAGAACTGTCCAGGTGCCACATGTGCAAGGCCCCGGGGGTGGGGGTGGGGTGTCTGGCCAGCCTGACTAGAGAACAGGCGTGGGACCTGCGGCAGGTTGGCAATACCCTCCTCTGATGAAGAGAAGAGTGTGGAGAGAAAACCAGGGGGTCTTTCTAATGGAAGCAAGCATGGCCTTCAAGGAGCCCAGATAAGAATCAAAGATGAGATCACTCAGGTGGCTCAAGAGGGAAAAGGATTTATTAGCCCATTTCCAGGGCAGGGAGCCAGGGGCAGTGGCAGGGTTCAGTGTTCCCACATTGAGAGGGAAGAAAACGCAGCAGTAAAACCCACCTGACTACCTTCACTCCTTCTGAGCTAGAGCTTTGTGCTCAAAAACCACCCTCTCCTCCTGCAGGGGGGACATATGGCCCGAGATGCTGACCTAGGAGGGTGGGAATGGCTTGGTTATACTCTTGGCCTTCACGGGCAGGGCTTGGGCTGGCACCCCAGGGCATCAGCCACTGTGTTCACAAGTAGTAAAATTCGGGTTAGAAGGGACAGGCGGAGGGAGCTGCAGGCCATCCTGAAGGTCTGCAGCAACCCCACAGTACGGGCTGCTCCCACTCCTTGACGCTTCTGGGAGATCTGAACTTTATTTATAAACAAGACAAAAATCCAAGCAGCATTAATTTAGGGGAACAAAGAAAGGTTTAAAAAAAAAAAAAAAAAACCCAAAAACCACAGAGGGGCAGGACAAGGAGTTGGTGAGCATCCAGAAGAGGAGGAGAGGAAGGAGGAAGGACCAGTACTCCACCCAGTGCTGAATGTGCTTGTGTCTCTGTGGCCAGGGAGGCCCTTCCTGCCTGCTCCCTGGCCGGCAGCCAGACAGCAGAGGGGACGCTGCAGTGACGTGAAGACGAGCCCTGGAGCGCTGTCTGGCCACTGACTTGGGGAGTGCCGTGGATTTATTACCCCAATCGACCCCCCACCTTCACCGTCACCAAGTGAAGAAATTTTTAACTCTCCTGTCCGAAGTCCTCTGAGAATTTCTTCACTTTCAGGAGATCGTCTGCATTCACGGTGGGCCGAGTGGTGGCCAGAGACCGGAGCATGTCCGACTGCAAAGACAAGGGCACGAAGCTGAGGAGGAGCCAGGCCCCGGGGCCTCGACCTCCCCTTGTCGCAGACCCAGGGGGTGCAGCAAGAAGAGGCCAGTGTTCCCAGTCACTCCCAGCCCCAAAAGCAAAGCTCCCTCTGGCTGCCTGGCGCCTGCCTGTCTCCCGTGACAGGACCGCTCTTCCCTCCTGAGGTGGCTCAAACAGGCCTACTTCTCGTCTGAGAGAATCCAAGCTCCCCTCACGTCTTAACTCCTGGGAGAAGCTCGCTCTGACCGCACACCCGCCACCCCAGCCACACTGGCAGACGCCTGCCCCACACGACAGGCAAGAAGTCGGGGAGACCGGAACGAGAAGAGGGCAAGACTTGTCCCGTGAGGCTGCCTGTGCGCGCCATCCAAGCAAGCTGCCGACAGACGCTCGCTGCCTCCTTCTGGGCACAGAACAAGCCAAAGCCATGGAATGATGTAGTCACACCAGCGGGCCTTTATTCTTGCTGAAGAAAATAAAAGGCTCATGCTATGGCCTCCATCTTGGGCCCCCGCTGAGTCTGTAACAGCAGGAGCCCCAGCTGCCCAGTGCCCCAAAGGCCATTCTCGGTTTCAGAGAGGCCACGACAGCCCAGGACGGAGAAGGGGAGAAGCCTATTTTTATTTTCAGATCCAAGACCCCAGTTTTCTGGGCTCTGTGCAGTCCCTCTCCCAGCCGGCCACTTACCATGCAAACCACAGGCTCTAAGAGTTTGTCACCAGGGACATCCATCCAAGTCATCTCCATGGCCCCTGGGTCCCCTGGTGAGCATGGGGTCAGGAGGTCATCGATCATAACGCTAGGGTTGGTGCGGGAAGGGCCACAGACCTGAAATCAAATAGGAGTTGGGCTGCAGGGGTTGCACCTCAGTGCTTGGGGAAGGGACAGGATGCTTCAGATTTCTGAGTCCTGAAGAGAAGGTGGTGGTAGAGGATGTATGCATGCCTGGCCTTCTAGGTCATCAGTCTGAGAAGAGAATGACTCCTTCAGAACTCTCAGGCTGGCAGTCGAAGTAGCTCAACGTAGGATTTCAGAGGTTTGTGATTAGCATGATATTCCAGGCACTGTTCTTCAGAATCTCAATTTGTGGCCCAAAGTGTCTTAATATCTTCCTCTTCCTCATTAACTCCATCAAATCTCACCACAAATGCAGTGACACCAAGAATGTTTTTCTAACCACAGTCTGCTTTATTGGCAACATCCCCCCAAATATCCCCCAGGCTAATTCCCTCACCTCCTTCAACTCTTGACTCCAATGTCACCTGGGTGGCCTATCCTTTAAGAATACAACTTGCCCAGGGGCGCCTGGGTGGCACATTCAGTTAAGTGTCCGACTCTTGATTTCGGCTCAGGTCATGATCTCAGGGTTGTGAGATGGAGCAGAGAGTCCCTTGGGATTCTCTCCCTCTCCCTCTGCCCCTCCTCCCCATCCCCACCCCAGCTCATCTCTCTCTCAAATAAATAAATATTTTTTTTATAATACAAGCTGCCCACCCAACTCCAAACTTCAGAAACACCAGACTCCATCCCCTGCTCTATTTTCCCTCTCATCACCCTCTAAGAAATGAGTATCTCCTCAACTACTGAAGAGGCTCCGATAGGGCAGGGACTTTTGTCTGCTGTGGTCACAAGTGTCTCCCCAGCTCCTAGAACAGCACCAGAAGCATAGTAGGAACCCTGGCAGACACTCAATAGAGATATGCTGTGTAAGAGGAGTTCCTCCTTAAAGCAGGTGATTTTTTTTTTAAAGACTTATTTATTTATTTGAGAGAGAATGAGATAGAGAGAGAGCACATGAGAGGG